TATACAAATATTCTGGTGAATGAATTTGTTGTGGCGGAGACCAAAAGGAAAGTCATCAAAACTATTGGAAAAACAAAGTAATCAATAGATTGTAAAATTAACTATGGAGGGCAGTATACAAATATTCTGGTGAATGAATTTGTTGTGGCGGAGACCAAAAGGAAAGTCATCAAAACTATTGGAAAAACAAAGTAATCAATAGATTGTAAAATTAATCATAGAGGGCAGTATACAAATATTCTGGTGAATGAATTTGTTGTGGCAGAGACTAAAAGGAAAGTCCTCAAAACTATTAGAAAAACAAAGTAATCAATAGATTGTAAAATTAACTATAGAGAGCAGTATACAAATATTCTTAGACTTCAACAGCTCATGAGCGTTACATGCTCTTCTTTGAAACTTTGGATACATATTTGTTCTGGGCTTTAATAATTGAACACAAAAAACTACAAATTATTAAACACAGATTCCTGCAAAACAGTGACAAAGTACAGACACCACATGAACCAAAGAACTTAGAATACTTTCACAATGTATTTGAAACCAACTCTGAAGGCTTTAGATGACAATTTCTATTTAAAAAAAAAAGTTTTCACGATAAAGAGGTGCCATATGCAAGTTACATTTCACCCAGGAATGCCGATTTTGGATCAATTTTGTTGGTGGAATGATAAAAGTTACCCGAACAAATCTTTTGACAGCGAAAGTTTTCACAGCCTTGTAGGAATCTACATCTCTTATATTTCCACTTGTATACCAGATGATATTGTTAGAAGCATACAAATAAAAAACAAAGTAACTATCAAATTAAAACTAAAGAGGGCAGTATAAAATATAAAGCTTACATCATCTCCTCTGGAACCTAAGACTGTGCTTTCTACTGTGTAAGTAGCTGATATACAGCATGATAATAGCCAGGCAAGGGGATGGCTTAACATGGATCCTTGAAAATAATCTTCATTACTTATAGTATGCAATGCCTGAAATTTTAAAAACAAACATTTTTGTAAATTTCACAATGAACAACTAAAAAGAATCAATAACATTATATAAAACCATTTATTTTCAACTTTTTTTCAGCATATTTACGAATACGTTCTTTTGTCATTTTACATGTTCACGTGGATTTAATTTAGCAAATTGAACCCTGAAATATATCCCTGAAAATAGCAGAGTTACAGTAAGTCTTAGACACACAAGACTTTATTTCTCTCGTGTGTGTATGTTTAAATATGTTTGAACTTTGTTAATACAAGGTAACATATTTGTATTCATATCAATAATGTAAGTCATGTATCTATGGTCAAAATAAATCATCTTTTAATAATCCATCAAATAATAAATACAACTGTTTGGTTACATGCGCTTCTATCAGAGATACACTGATAAAAAGAGCAAATACGGTAGTCTACTAAATCAACTACTGACTTTCATGGAGTTACATTTTTGTTGGCGGCCATCATGAAGATCTATTACTCTTACAAGATTTCTCTTTTCTGTAATGTGTAATGGGGGCAGAAACAGCACACAGAGACGACAGTGTTATGTGACAATTTAACGAGAAATGTTATGAGCTGGCAATAGGCCGAATGTATTATTTTTCATTGTTGGATGAGCAGTTGACAATGGAAAAAAAAAACTGATCTCAGGCAGACACCCTACCCATAATGCAGCACATCAGGTATACAGAAGGTTTAATATCAGAAATAAGAATGACATAATATATGATACTTACATTAGGGTTAGCTTGTCCATGACAGAGGGATACCACCCAGTTATGCATGCTGTTAAGTAGTTCTGGGCAGTTATTCTGAATATAATGACTCAGGGCATTGATATCTCTACAACTTGCGAGTCTATGCGCAAATACATCTAATACGACCTCCGAGTCTTTGTATCGATATCCTGACGATGCCATGTACATCATAAAAGCTGCATTAACCAAACAACTACTACCTGTGAAAATTCACATATTCATATAATTATGACCAGTTAATACAGTGTTTATCCTGTAAATAGAGTGACAGGGATTAGAAATGCAAGAGTCATTTTAAAATACATAGATCTGATTGGGTGTACCCTTTATACATGCCCCATGAGAGTTGCTGTAGCTTATGGCAATAAGAACAAGCAGCCGGTCAGCTGAGATAGCTCCGCTGTTAGCAATGCACATTTCAATTAAAGAACAGAAGATATCATTAGAAAATGAACAAATGTATAGTATCAAAGCAATGGGACTTGCTGTTTTCAACAAGAAGTAAAAAATATCACTTTTCACCAACAATGACAAAAATAATCATCAAAATTAGATAATTGAAAATATCACCCTGAAATTAACAAATCTGAAAGAGGCCACATGTAGTACCTATATATGTAATATAAAAGCAATTGGACTTGTGGTTTTTAACAAGAAATCGAAAATATCACTTTTTACCAAAAATGACAAAAATATTCACCAAATTTAGAGAATTAAAGATATCATTATAAATTGAACAAATCTGAGAGAGGTCCACATGTAGTACCTATATATGTAATATCAAAGCAATTGGACTTGCGGTTTTTAACAAGAAGTTGAAAATATCACTTTTTATTAAAAATGACAAAAATATTCACCAAAATTAGATAATTAAAGATATCATTATAAAATGAACAAATCTGAGAGAAGTCCACATGTAGTACCTATATATGTAATATCAAAGCAATTGGACTTGCTGTTTTTAACAAGAAGTCGAAAATATCACTTTTTACCAAAAATGACAAAAATATTCACCAAAATTAGAGAATTGAAGATATCAACATGAAATGAACAAACCTAAGAGAGGTCTACCCAAGGTACATATACACCAAGTATCAAAGCATTCAGGCTAGTAGTTTTCAAGAAGAAGTGGAAAAAGTAAAACATTGACACGGACGATGACGGACAATCACTCATATGATAAGCTCCGCTCGACAAAGTTGACAGCGGAGCTAATAAAACAAGTGGGCAGGATGTAAACTTGCCAAAGAGGGTGCACATCAAACCACACTGGCTGAATGAAATCTACTATGGTAAAGTGAAGATCCAATTAACCTTGGCTAGAGAGGGCGTTGAAAGTATTTTTACCACCTTTTTCTCAAGATCTGAACAATTAAAAAAAAAACATTTGACTCTATATACTGCTCTCAATGGATTCTAACCACAATGCAATGTGCAAAATATGTAAATGAAATCATTATAATTCTACAATTTTATGAAAAAGTAATAAAAGATTTGAACTTACTTTCTTGATTGAGCATTTCTTCTTCTTTGGAAAATATTTTGCAATAAAACTTGATTTGTTCTGTCTTTTTGTTGTTTAAAGACAAAACCTTTTTAATTGCATCTACGACATGCTGTTTTGTTAGCAACGAACCAGTGCCAATTTCTCCGGCATTTTGAAAATGACGATGAATGTGTTCATAGAACAATTGACCGAATCTTTCCACGGGTTGCGAGAAATAGTCCTGCAAATATAAGAATAAGTCATCTTAGGGGGGTGACCATTCAGGCGTTGGAGTATATCGGGGGGGGGGGGAGTATATTCATAAAAAAATGTACATATTTGATAGACAGGAAATACACAACATCATCCAAAAAAAGTTCAAAACTAGGTGAAGCAAATAAATAAGTAGTTTGCAATGTTAAAATTTGTTGATCACAAGAAATGGACAGTACATACAATTAAACACACATACAATTCAACTGTATGTAGCAACCTTTTTTTTACAGGATAAAAGAAAATCAGGAAATTGTTATAACATTTTCGAAAATTACATGACCAAAGCAATGAAATGACAGCATAGAAACCAGCAAGAACCTGTTAGTAAGAGATTGAATTTCCCAGCAAGAACCGAGATCTCATTACTATATAGAAACTACTGAGAGATCAAATTACAATATGGAAACTCATTACTATGAGATTAAATTTATTATATGAAAATATAGAACGCTATTCAAAACAGAACAACTATGTGCCAATTGAATTCAATTGTGAAAACAGCAACATATTATGCTTACTGATATTTGAAATAACCAAAAAATGCTAACAAAAGGAATAATAACATTTTTATTCCGATTATTCATAAATACAAAGACATATTTAGAAGATTTATTTTTGAATCCTGAAGGAAAGGACTGCTGTTCAGTAGAATGAACTGATTTTTTTTTTTTAAATGTTTTTTGTTCTGGACATTGAATGTCACTTTTTTGGTGTTCAGCCTAAGGTAGGATTTGAACTTGGGTCTACCGATCACGAGTCTGATGCAACGACCACTATGCTACCAGGTCATTCAGTAGAACAGATCATCACTCCAATAAACCCTCCAATGTAAGACCAAGAATGAAACATACATAGGCTAAACAGACTTACATGAAATGCTTCTTTGTCAATATGTTGGGAATGCTCTTCAGTACCACACAACTTTCTCTGTAAAGTTAAATTATAAATTGACATTTCAATTATAACACTGACAAAATTCTCTACGTGGTGGTACTGTAAAAGCATTTATTTTCACTATTTCAAGCATATTCAGCATTTTTTCCCTTCAGATTCACGAATTTGCCAATGAGACAATGTGTTCTATTGTAATTGGACAAGTTCATATGAATTTAATTTAATGAATTTTACTTATCAGAGAAAATTAAAACCCACTGAATAATTAATACATTTACAGTATAAAATTATTAATTGCCAGTATACATGTAACTAATATAGCAATATGTAAATATTCTATTCCATTAATTCATACCAAATTGCTAAATATGGTCACATTCTGTTAGCTAATGCTCTTATATAATGGGAAACTAGTCTGTGCTTTGGATTAGTCCTGAGACTTTCTAGGTGACTACATAATAATGATATAAAGTTGAATATCTAGAGAATGAAAAGTGATATAAAAAAACTGTAAATTGCATTCTCCTACATTTGTAGACCTTTTTCTTCAGGGGTCATTATATTGCTTAGATTGATGTTTCCTTTGAGATATATAGTTTTGTTTATAGTAATATAGCTGGAATATAACATACAATGTATGATTATGATGATTGTTTAACATTTAAATGATTGACATTTGTATCTGAGAGATATTGCTCTGGAACAGCATTAATTAAAACAAAATCAGCCATGTACATGTATAATAAATATATAAAATTTGAACATAGTCAGTTGAAGCATGTCAGAGATATGTCTCTAGAATCCCATTCATTAAAACAAAATGGCCACCAGTCAGCCATTCTGAATCCGATCTAAAAAATAAAATAACGTGCATCTAGAACCCGTAATGTCTAATGTATGTACATGTACCAAGTTTGAACAAAATCCATCCATAAATACCAGAAATGCTTGATATTGGATGATTTTTTAGCACAAAAATGGCTGGCGTTTGGCCATTTTGAAACAACGTCGCGGCCCTCGCTTGAAATGCCTTCGGCATTTTGTTAACACGCCTGTATTTATTATTTACCCTGTATTTATTTTTGAATGTTACCAGAAACTCAATGTATACTTTGTTTGGTCTTATCTGATTTCCTTACTGTTTTTTGTTTATAATTTAATATTGTACTGCATTTTGATTTTTGTTATGTTACAATTTAAATTCCTCCTGGAGAATCTCAAGTGTTTTTAATATAGTTATCTGTGAAATCATTAATGTTTGTACAGCGTTAGAAGAGAAAGAAATGCTAGAGGTACTAAAGTCAATCGATTAACATTACACTTAATACAATGTGCAACAAGTCCTGTGGCCTGAGCTTTATACCGGGACTATATATATATACATGTATACAATGTATACACACAGTTGGTTGACAATGACTCGTGTACAAAGTCCTCACCATCCCACTGTCGCTATATACTACATGAACTTTATACATCAATAATAAAGTTCACTCATGGCTGACCTAATTGATTTTTTTCTAACTAAATATTTTTCAGGCAAATTTTCCAAAAATCACAGGGCTTGAACGACAAGATGAATGAAGGATGTCCAACGAGTCTGTGTTGGTGTCTGTTGGTATTCCGTTAAATGATAAGGCAATTTTGCTGAAAATGGATGCTCTCTCAACTGCGAAGTTCGAACGCTGAAATTGTGTCAACTACTTGTCGGTACACAAAATTGCATTCCGCGTCCGTGTGGAGAGACTGTGGCCATATCTGATGGGAACGTTCACACCTCTCCCTCGCGTCCCACTCTCAGAATTATGACAGCTCACCTGAATCAGGTCTATGACGAAAGGGGAAAGTTGTTCCTCGTGAGGGCTGTGGCGGGTTCCCTCATTGTGATGGTGTCCATGGGAATTCCCCATTTTTAACACAAGGATACTGTCGTTGTTAACAGCTGTGCTTGATGTCAGTGTGAAGTCCAACTATTAATCGTAAATAATGACTGTCATCTCAGTTTATGATCCTATCCCCGGCCGGTGGCACATCAATCCCTGGCAGCGGCCATGTTGAAAATTACCCAATACTTCTTCCGGTTTCTGGCGTATCACAGTGATCTCGCTTTGTTATCCATACGCATTGAGGGAGTTAAGTTAAGTTTAGATTGATGCAGCGGTGAGTCTATGAAACCAGGATACTTCGACATCTTTAGTGGGCACCAGTCAATAATATATACAAGAATAATGTATAATAAACCGACTTTCCGTCTTATGAAGAATTAATTTTATTCGCGGCAGAATATTTTGAGGTGTTGTTCGGCGGTAGCCAATTTTTAGAACGAAATCTGTCAAGGAAGGCGAGTCCTTATCGTTTTTATGGTGGATTTTTTCATGATTTATCTCAAATATGGCTTGTTGCAAGAAGAAGTGTAAACCAAGCAGTAAATACATTCCCGTAACGTCTGCATATGTCCTTCTCTTGGGGTGTACTTCGCTATTCTATATATTCCCGTAAGTACTACCTATATATTACGTTTTGTACAGCTGGGCTTGGAATATAATGATCACATTTTCAAGTGCTCACCGGTATAGCCGAAAACGTGTCACTACACACAGACAGCATTTTCCCCACACACATATTCTTGATATTTTTATTGGTAGTGCAAAATCCCTGTTATTCAAGTATAATTAATTAATATCGCTGAAATTTGTTCACAAATTATAAATCATAAATGCATGTAAATAAACAACAATGGAAGTTACATTGTAAATTTATTTGATTGTTTATCAAGTGTTTGGTGTAAACAAAGAGGGAGTGTTGATCTTTTCAATATATTTTTATTGGATCCCTTTATTAGTAACTTATCTTCTTAGAAGGTCTATGCTTCAAACCATGTACCTGCAATGCATGTATGCTTGGATATTTTTTTTCTTTTTAATACTCTGAGTGCAACAAAGGCATTCCCTTTATCTTAATAAATATTACTAAATTTCTACAGCAGTTGAATCGAAACTGCCAATTAACAAGCACAGTGCACAACAACATCATTTGAAAAATTTTATTTGTTATTATGAAGATGAAGGGAATGCCTTTGTTGCATTGAGAGAAGTATTGTTTGTTTTTATCTGTGCAATGTATTTATGTTTTCTCTTTACCATATAGTACCCTCAGATGATACTTGTGAAGTAATAAAGTTATTAATAGTATCTCTCTCCCCCACCTCTGTCATACTAGTAATTGATGGGGCTGCATTTTGTATGCACATTATCTTGAACTTCTTTGCCTAGGAGTAAAAAGGAATCTGGTATGGAATGTTTAACAAGTATGCACCAGTAAATGTAAACTCCCAAAGCCTGTATGTGGGGGCAACTATGGAGTTAATCTTGGGACAGCAATGTTCAGAGAAGCTTGAATTAGTTGGGCATTTTGTCATGAAATTTCCTACCTGACGAAAAATTTGAAGGACGATAGTGTTGGAATGGGATAGGGTGGGGGATAACAAGTGGATACGGCATCTTAGTGCTATCCTTAGAAGCCTGGCATAATATAGTATATTTAGCAACCAAATTTTGTTAGTTCCCACATATACAGAGTTAGGGGAGGTATGGGTTTATATTGAATAGTATTGTCTGTATATGGCAGCTGAGTTTGTATGAAGCGTTGAGATGTTAAATAAGTTAAATGACCAATTATTCAGGAAAAAATATTCAGTGATCCATTGAATACGAGTTCAGTCAAGGATTTGGGTGCAGTGTGCCTTTAAACAGATACATGTACATGTATGATGCATCACTGGTGCACAGACATTTTTTATGATGTAACTTAATATGCTTATCCTTTGGTGCACTAATGATGCAACATAAAATTACGAAAAAATTACTCTGCTTCATGGAGTTTGTATTTTGGTAAAATTAAATTCACATTTTAGAGAATGTCCTGGTCGAGTCACATCTGATCTTGTGGCGGGTGGGTCGTTAGTGGTTACACTTGAGATGTTCAGTGTCATGATGTTTACTGTTGTGTAACAGTATCAAATTATATATGAAGAGAAATGGTGGGACTTTTTGGCTTCAAGGGGTCCGATCAGGATGTTTCGGCCAGTTTGTATGCTTTTCAGGCAATGATGTTTACTACTCTCATTTTTGTCAGCCACATGCAATCTAAATGTGGATGAAACACAACCATTAGTTGTGTTCATCTGGGATTTAAACAGAATTTAGCTTTTTTGTGACTTGGTTTGCCTTTATGTTAAACTTGTCTTTACACTAACATTCCTAAGTAATGTTTCAAATGTGTACATTTATGTGTGTGAATAAACAACATTTTTTTTCTGCAGATCTGTTAATTCTGTAAAATTCGTGAGCACCGCCATCTTGAACAAGCGTACTCTGTGTAGCAACACTGACAAAACGCAATGGTCAATACACTCTGCACTGGGCTGCATAATACCTTGGATGTTGTCATTCTAAACAGTGTATCAAATTTCAAACTGAGGCATGTAATTATGTTGATATGCTTTGTCTCATTCCTTATAGTTCATATCAATTCATAACTTTCTTAACCTAGTTCCCAAATCTGCCAGTTTTGTAGTTTTTGGAATTTTTGGCGAATTAAAAAGTATTCCAAAAATTAAGTTCAAATTTGTTTCTCTGAAAGCATAATGCACATACCGAAAAATCTGTATTAGAAGCCGCATTCCTAATAGAAGTCGCACCCATTCTTTTTGAATATCTGAGAACCAAAAATTCATAATTCTCATATGTGTGGATGCTCTAATAGAAGCCGCATCCCCTCTGTTGCATTGTACCATTTTAATAGAAGCCGTGGTTTCTAATACAGATTTTACAGTAATATTGTAAATGGTTAATGAACATACAAATATTGTCATGTTTCAAAACAAAACCGAAACTATTCTTCGTTCTGTCTGTTTTAAAAGTAATACACACGATACTAGTGAATAAGCTTGCTAGTGTTACAGTTTGTTTATATTGTTTTCAAATGTGTTTCCTTGGAGAAAAAGGGGTGGGGCACACAATGTGTGTATCCCCAGTCTGGGATCCTATGTACTTGCATATCCAATTTACTGTTAAATGACTAATTTTCACTGCGTTTAAATTTCACTGATTTACCATTTCAGGCATATTCAGATGGTTATAAATTCAAGGTTTTGTCATTTAGATAATGTGTTCTATGCTAAATTTGACATGTTCACAGGGTTTTAATTTAGCGCATTTTTCAGTCAGTGAAATAAGCAAAATTAAAACCTGGTAAATAATTAATTCTTTTACAGTAGTTTGTAATTTTTTGAGTGGTGACCACTCTTTAAAATGAGAATTATGACTGAAAAAAAAAAGCAATGTAATTATTTTTTTTTTTTAAATCTAATAATTCCCATTTGTATTGACACCCAGCGGGTAGATTTCTTCCCATTATCACAAAGGGCTGAAGGCCTGTTGTGTGCTGTGAATAGATAAATAAATAATTAAAATAAATAATAAATAAATAAAATTATTACTAAACCATGTGTACAGACTGACGAAGACAAGGTTATACTGTAAACTTATTTTTCACTGCTAGGTATTTTTGCAATTTGTTGATTTTATTGCATTCGTAAAGTCGAAATTTTCGAAAGTCACTGACTTGCTGTATTACACCAGGATAATTTGCAAATATTTGTCTCTGGCGAAATTGAAGCAGTTTATAGTGATTAAAAGCTGCTCTGTCAAACACATACTTGTCTTCTGTCAATGTTGTTAGGCTTGGGTGTTGACTCAGATCAGTCAAGCCTGCCATTATGACAACATTCAATTTATACTTGCCTGGAACCTCAAATGTATTTTACTAAGATTGATGTAAATTGTACTTGGTGAGTGGAAGAAATAATGATTAGGTTAATTTTCAGCGGTTTTGATTTTTACGGTTTTTTACTGATAGAAACATTGAATTAGGATATTTAGCTATTAGTAAAATAAATGAAATAAATTCCCCAGTCGCTCATAGTGTCCATTTATCCTGCCATTTTGACCATAGCTATACAACTGTTTAGATTGATCCTATGGTACCCAAGTACTTGCATATCCAATTTCAGTAGTTTGTAATGAATAAAAAAAAATTAAAAAAAATGTTTATTACCGTAAAATCTGTATTAGAAGCTGTAGTTTCTATTAAAATGGTAATAATGCAACAGAGGAGATGCAGCTTCGATGAAAGCATCTGCACATATGAGAAATGATCAATTTTTGGTTCTCAATTGGTCCAAAAAAATGGGTGTGATTTCTATTAGGAATGCAGCTTCTAATGCAGATTTTACGATACTACTCCACTCCACCATATGTAGAAACTGACTAAGACAAGGGTATACTGTAAACTTAATTTTTACTGCTAGGAATTTTTGTGATTTAATGACTTAATGTTATTCTCTGACTTCCGCAAATTTGTCTCTCATGAAATTAAATTGGTATACAGTATCTAATGACTATTGTAACCCTATATTAATTATTATATCCAACTGTACTGCATACATGTAAGTGATTCCAATTCTCATCCATATGGTTATACATGTACATACATGCAAATGTGGTGGTGCCACACCCTATTCAAACTATCTTACTGACAATACATTTAATATATACTGGTATAATAAAACGATGTAATAATTTAAGATCATTTTAATAAGTTAAACTTTCATTAATTGTCCTGATTGACCTCTATACTACTCACCCGCTTGGCTATTATAGATTTATTTCATTACCCTGGATGAATGTCCCCCTTACTCTGGTGTTTTTATGAACATACAGACAAAAACAAGCAACACTGTTAACAACTATTTTGTATTTACTTTAAGTACTACATCTACAGTGTATATGAACCAATGTTTATTTAGTTATTTAACAGTCATTTCCCAGAGAAAATAAAAATTGTAACTGAAAATTAAAATTGCGAAAAAAAAATTGTAAAATAATTGAGGTTATGACGAAGATACCTCAAAGTGTACATGAAGATTGTACACGACCATGTACTGTTTGAATGCATACATTGTACCATCTTCATAATAATCAATCATGGTTTAGGAAGCCCATTGCTGGAAATAACACATAATTGTTTCATATTTGTATTTTGCATTTTCTAATGAAGTAAGATGTATATACATGTACCTTGTGTGATACCGAAAAAATAATGGCATACTGTAATTTATAGCAATGTGGTGACAGATTCTGCAGTATCAGTGGACATATTGTAAAGGCATGGAATATTTGACATCTTCTAATTGGTAAATCTTCACTTGTCACCGACTGGTCAAGTTTAAAGGTCAAAACCTACAAATATAGCTTGTTTGATAAGACCAAATAAACTAATTTGGTATTTCCAGTAACAGCAAAAAAAATATTTGATAGGTAGAAAGGCAGGGTTTTTAATTTAATTTTTTTTTAATATTATTTTTTTAATGATTTGTTCTTTTAGGTTTTTGTTTGAACATAATCATGGTTCAACTAAATTTGGACAGATGTGA